CCCCTCAATGACATTTTCTGGCCAATAAACGCGCTGTATTGGCTGGCTGCTCCGCCTTCTGGCCAGTAAACTGCATATTTTTGCATAAAAAAATGAGGACATGTTGCACCGCTGAGTGGCCCTTCTATATGGATCTTTATTCTATGCCGAAACTCTCCTGCCTTTCTCTTCTGTACGTTCTACCAACACCCCCCCCCCCCCCCTTATTGCTACTTCATCATCAACCTCGTTAAGCGCAGAAGTCCTGGGTACAAGGTTGCATCGCCATAGTAAGACGTAAAAAATTTAACTAGAAATACATGTATGCAGCAACCCTCGCCATTTTCAAAACACTGATTTAACATAAAGTATTCGTTATTGGCCAATACTGAGCGCATGCTCGCGTTGTGGCATCATGTGTTGCCATGACAACACGATTTTTTTAATTTTAAATTTTTAGTTTATATTTCTTAATTCTTTTTACAAAACGGCAAAATAGTTGAAAGATTAGTACTTTTAAGACAAAAAGATAAGGTTGATATTTTAAAAATATACAGAATCTTGATCATACTCGATATTTTCATTCCCTATGATCTTCTCAACACGGTGATCCCTATGATCCCTATGATCCCTATGATCTTCTCAGCACAGTTAGGTGCTCCCACAACTGATAATTCTGCTGTATCTAAGAAATGGGTCACCAATCACGTCAGTGGAAGCTCAATTAGTAGTAGTGGCTTTAGTATGACAGGTAATATTGACATGGGTGGTCATAGTATAACAGGTCTTAAAGGTGGGTCGGTTGGGGACACCAGTGCACTTTCTGCTAATACTATATACTCCTGGTGTAAACAATTTCTGAAACGAAATAGTGGTACTCTTGATAGCGATCTTGATGTTAACGATTATGAGTTAACTAGGGTAGGTGATCCTACTACGGATGGTTCTGCCGTAAATAAGAAATGGGCAACTGATGAGTTCATGAGTAGTAAAGGTGGACTGGTAAAGGGTGATTTGGATATGGGAGATTCAAGTGGTATTCTTGATCTAAGGGATCCGGTAAATGATAAGGATGCAGTTAACAAGCAATGGGTAGAAAAGAATTTCCTAAAACCTTCCTCAGGTCTTGTACAAGCAGTGGCTGATAAGAGATACGTAAGAATAAACCGTCATATCTATTCAGAGTGGATCTGGGGTTATCGTGGTGTATCAGTTGCAGCAACAAGGTACTATGCTTACTGTCAAGATCAGATTCCACCTTCATGGAGAACAGATACTATTAATAATATGACAGACCTCAACCTTGAGTCAATTACTATTAAATCAGATTTCCCAACTCTTTCAACTGTTCTAAATATACCCTTAGGACTCATTCTGTGGGCTACTGTATGGGAAAAGCAGTCTAATGGAAAATTTACACAAGTCAAGAAGGAAA